AATATGCAAAATCGCAGATGAAACATCAGAGGAAATCGTAGATGAACTTAGTTCATCTCCGATTTCCTCTGATGTTCCACCGGCCAACGTACAACCGCCAATGCACGTCCATGCTTTAAACAATTGTACATTCACAGATCAAATGCAAAAATTGCAGATGACTCTAATTTATCGCGATTTTGGTGGCTAAATTTGTAATTTGGGTTTTTTTTTTGCTATTTTTTACAAAGTAATTAAGGAAAATGGCTAAATTTGTAACTTTCTCTCTCTATTTTTTTTTTTTTTTGTTAAATTAAAGGTGTAGGAACATAAAAACATGAATTCAAACAAATTGATAAGCATTGTGTCAACAACACCCAAAATATAAAAATATAAAATATTCATCATAACTGTTTGGCCATAGATGGTTATGATACCACTCTTTGGATTCGTCATGAGACCCACTTGCAATGGAAAAGTTTATAGACAGTAACCGGTCTCACAAAATAGCTAGATCACCATGTAGAATTAACTTTAATCAAGGTTTACAACAACAAAAGGGTTTAAACAATTCATACCTCGAGGTGCACTCCGAAATCCATGATCATGGGGAGCAAAATATCCCCCTCTAATGATATATGCATGGATAGATTCAAACACGGGTTAGCGAGTTCTAGCCATAATGGGATGAATACAAGGGTACAAATTAATTTTTCAAGACAATAAACAACTAGTCATCTAATGGCTCACAAACCTCATTTAATAGAAAGAAATGCATGTAGCAAACTCACAAGGTCTAATGATGAAATATTTTTAGCTATTATATATAACTTAATCTGTGTGACTCAGAATTTCAAGAAACGATTATCAAATTGAAAAGCGAACCTTCTTTCAATGGGTGGTAATGTGGTAGGTTTGACTCTAATCAAATCAATTCTTAACATGTTAGGTTTTTTATATGCCTTTATATAAATGTATGATGCAATGTTGGTTGCTTGTTGAGGTCTCGTTTCTTTTAAGGTGGGAGTGGTTTAGATAGAAAGATTTCTTGCGATAAATGGGACTTGTTGTTGAATGCTAAAGATAAAGGAGGGTTGGGCATTAGTAGTTTAACATCGCGCTTTTGATAAAGTGAAGGTGACGTTTTTATAATGAAGGTGGTGCGCTTTGGGTAAGGGTAATTCATATATTCAAGGTTTACATGGTGGTTTAGGTTCGATCTCTTCTAAACCAAAAGGTAGGGACATGGGTTACTATTGTTCGTCTGTTTGATAAAATGAATGACCTCCATGTTATTCCACATTCTTTGTTGCAAAAGCATATTAGAAATGGGGAGCTACGAGGCTATATGCTTTAGAATCGAACAAAGAGTATTGGGTTTTTGATAAGTAGTTTGACACTGGGTAGGTTTAGGGTTGGGCTTATTCTTTTTGTGATGAAAGTGGGTACGACTTCTCAGTTGGTGAAGCTCACGAAGTTACTTGATCAATTGCATCTTTAGAATCGTCCGAATAGGTGGGAATGGGCCATTGATGTGGATAGTATCTTTGATGTGAGTAATAATAGAAAGCACACTAACAATATTATTTTGTAGGAATAATACAACGTCCATACTAGATGGTACAAAATGGTTCTTATAAAGTTCAATGTGCTTCTTTGGAGAGTGCTTCTAGATAGGTTGCTGACTAGAGAGAGCTTTGAGATTGGGGGTTTAATATTCATTCTATTTTATTTGTGCTCCATTCAGCGTGAATATTATAGCTATGTGTTTTTGAAATGTGAACTTGCCAATTAACCGGATTTGGGTAAAGGTTCTTAAGTGGCTGGATCTCTGTTTCCTTTGTTCGAGAATGTGTTGGAGTTGTTTGGTTAGGTAGACTCGTTGACATTGAGGAAGAAAAAGATGATCATGTTAGAGGTTACTGGGATTTGTGGCAGTATCGTAATAGTTTTGTGTTTCAAACACACAATATGTAAAAGAGTCATATGTCCGAAAGTATTGTTATGCATGCCTTAGATTGGTATTTGAATAGGTGTAGTAGAACTAAAATTACTTGTATATCTTCATCTCTCACCCATACATTTTCTCCTCCTCTCTTCTTCTTTCTTCCATTCCCTTTGTTTGCATGGACTTTGAGAAAATGAGGTAGAAAAATAGGAATGGAGAAGGTTGAGGTGGAGCTCGGTTAGTCCCACATCACTGCCCTCAGCCTTATAGCCTTATATATTGCAGGAATCCCTCTAAAAGCATGCAATTGTTAGGAATAAGACTCTCCATGTCACGCATGTCAATACCTTCCACGATCTAATGAAATATATTTATCGAATAATATCATGTTTTACATAAATCGTTCACAGGGCCGGCCCTAGAGCATGGGCAAGCTGGGTCACCAAAACTAGGGCCCCCTTCGAGTCACAGTAGTTGTATATACATATAGGTTTAGACGATATAAAATATAGTATGCAAAAACATAACAAAAGATGGTTGCATTGCAGATGGTAGAGATGTCATACTTTAGGTTATTGGGGTCTTGAGTTCGAATATTGTAACATTCAAATTTTCATATTTTTACTTAGCATAGATATTTTGAGCTGACGCTTCATTTTTCAAGATGCAATTAAATGTATGTTGATTTCTCCTCGTAATATACAGCTTCATAGCACAATTTTTTAAGAGTGTTGAAGCATAACAAGGTTAATTAAGGCATAAATGGGTAAGTGAGAAATTGAAAATATGTCATCTTGTTACTCTAAAATCTGTAAGCCTTGTGCACTTGCAAGCAAAACATCTTATTCTTGCAGACTTGTGCTGTGAAATCTTTCGGACATGTGCTCTTGCAAACAAAAATATAACTTATAAGTTTTTGTGTGCTTTCTTTTGTGGTTTACATTACTTCTTTACACTTCTAGAGTTTAGCTCTGGGATTTGATCTTTCTTTTTACTCTTAGAATTCATGTTTTGGGTTATTATTTGATATATTTTTATAACTACCTCAAAGACTTCATTTATTCTGTGTAGCATGGTATTCGTCTTCAATTTTTTTGTGAGACTTGATTTATAAGTTTCTGTTTGTTCTTTGTTTTGTCTTTTTCCTTTAACTTCTATTGTAGTTCAATTGTGTAATTGGTTTTTATTAGCAGCAAAATTGAAAGAGAACTAAAAAAGTAGTATTTCAGGTGTATTTCAATTTTCCAATGAGAAAAATCAACTCAATATCATATTGTTTTCCTTTAGCTTTTTTAATTGGCATTGTTTAAAATAAATTATTATTATAACTAAAATAATAAAAAGTTACTTAGCAACTTATTGGAAGAAAACTTACAAATGTTAATCTATAACACACGAATGAGAATAGAAATAACACTCATATGAATGAGAATATGACCAACAAAAATCATAATGTAATTTACAAAAAGGAAAATATCGCTAATAAGAATGAATAATCATATGAATTTTAGTAAGTACTTTTGTGTCACTATTTCATACCTGAATTTTAATTATATTTTCTAAGGTTTTAAGGGGTCTCATTTTTTGTCTTTGCCCGGGGCCTCAAAATTTCTTGGACCGGCCTGATCGTTCAACAATCACTATGTTTTTTTTATAAAATTTTTTATTAAAATGATAATCAATCTTTTATAGAGAACAAATTAACCTATTAATGATACTTACGACTCGAGTCATATATAACCTTATGGAATGTCATTTAGGTACAACCGGATGTTCACTTATTCATTAGAACAAAACAATATGGTCTATTGGTTTACATAAATCAAATTTTCAATATTTTATGGAGATCTTTGTTTGGAGTAATACTTTTTAACTTTGTAATATTCCAAGTTACCAACTATTTTATTTTTCTCAAAATAAAACAAAATATGTGTACAAAATAATCAATGAAAGTGATCAAAATCCTTTTTCAATAAAGATATCAAACAAAGTTACTACTTAAAGAACTATACCTCTTCTATGAGTTGCACCAAATACATCTCTTCTTTGATACATCCTTATAACATATGTCTCATAACGATAACCTTTTCATTAAGTATAATTACATATGCTCTTTCAAAAAAAAAAGTATAATTACATATCCAATTTTAATTAAGTTGTCGGTGGATACTAAACCTTTTCCATTGGCGATAACATAATTTGTACATGTCCAACAGAGAACATCAATTCTATTATTCTTTGTACATGTCCAAAAGAGATTAGAGAACATCAATTATGTTTTTCATGGTAACCATAAGAGAATACTACATGTTGTACTAGGGGTGAGCTCGTTCTCAACCGAAGGGTACCACTTTTTTTCGAGGGGGAATTCCTAATACCACAGAGCGAAGCAAAGTATAAGGTATTGTACAGGAACCTAGGGTGGCTATCCATGACACGACACAAAATGAAATTTGAACGAAATTGAAATTCGTGTTCGTGTTTGTGTCATATGTAAGAACACATCATGTCGTGTTGTGTTGATGTTCAAGATTCGACAACTGTGTTTGTCGTGTTTTTGTTTTTATTGTGTTTGACGTGTTTTACAGATTAATTTTGAATTTAAATAAACAAAAAGATTATTTTTATATTCTCTTTTCTTGTTGGTCATTCTTACCAAGTTTTAGTTAGTTCGTTTTCGTGTTAGTAAAACAAAACATGATATCATTTTGCATCGTGTTTATATCATATAATAAAATTGTGGTGTCTTGTTGTGTAGTGTCATCTGAAAACACGACACAAATGCCCAATTTGCTATCCCTATTGATACCAATTCAATTCGGGAAAATATATTTACTTTGAACATAGGGGTGAGATTGGTGTCTACTGAACCGCAAGATACCAATTTTTTTAGGGTAATTTCTAGGATCAAATATCGAACCAAAGTATAGTTACCGTATTGGTAGCGATTCGGTTTGTGAAAACAGGTTGACTCTCTCTCTCTCTCTCTCTCTCTCTCTCTCTATATATATATATATATATATATATATATATATATATATATATATATATATATATACACACACTAGTTACCCTTGTATTACCCTTATATGAAGTTGAGATGGAGTAATTAACACTAAATTTGGTGTTGGGTTTTTAGGTGCCGTTATATATAGCTGACATCCACGGATTTCAAACTCATAACTTTTAGAGTAAATTACATGTTTGATCCCGCAACTTTGGAGTTCATAACACCTTTGGTCCAAGTATCGTGATTGTTGCAGAAATGGTCCCTATGATTAATATGATGGAAAAAGCCGAAAGAAGAGCTACTATGAAAGTTGGGTAATTTGACGGAAGAGGCTGAGAAGAGTGATAGAAAACTTATTTTTTTTTTTTTTATAAACAGCTCTTTCAAAAAAAAAACTTTTTGTATAAACATGTAGACATGTTGAAACTTTACCATATATCTTAAGAAAGAGATATATACGTCCACACATGTTAAGAGAGGGAGAGTGGTGCATTTTGAGGGCAAAAATGACAGTTTTACCCTCATGTGCACAGCACATGAGAAGGTCTTAACAGTGGAAGGGAAACAGAGTCAATAGGGAGGAACCAAACTGCTAATTTAGTTTGAAATAAATAAGGATCATTTCTGCAACAATCACCATAGTTGGACCAAAGGTGTTGTGGACACCAAAGTTTTGGGATCAAATATGTAATTTACTCTAACTTTTATATTATCTTAAACAAATCCCAACCATTCCATGCCCAAACAGCATTTTCCAGCAATACTTATTTACACAAAATGGAAAAAAACGAAATCATGAAACACAAATTACCAGTTTTTTTTTTTTTTTGCTGGTTCATTTTCATGCAAGTTCCACCATTTCTTCAAAAGACTTATACCACCTCCTTTTGACAAATAGGACAATTCTGAAAAACATTTAACAGCTTCAATTAAAAGCAAAGAAAGATGTCTACGAGAACTTATTGCAATCAACAACACTAACAAATGTTACCTTCTTGAGCTTCAACCACTCGCTGATGCATTTACTATGATACTGATGAGAACAAGGCAACGATATCACGCGTTTCCCGAATTTGAAATTCTCTTGACATATCACGCAGCTAAAGAAAAGTCACGAGCAAAACTATTTAAATTTTAAAGGGTAGTCGTGGTATTTTAAATAAAAAATCAAAAGTTAAAACTAAAACTTTGAAAGAAATTTCAAAAGCTATTTCTTACCTTTCTTCCTTGTTCTTTGAGAACATTCCGGATGTGTAGATGTAGTTTGGTAACAGTGAAAGGCGCTCTGTGGATAGTCCTATGTTTTCAACACCAATGGTTTCACTAAGGTTTAGTAATTCCTACACAAAGATTTTAAAAACAAATCAATTCCGTTTTGAAGCTGATAAATGTTTTTGAAAAAAATATATATATATTATTCTTCCAGCAACCTCTGAGCTGGCCCACACCCCTGCCTCATAAAGCATCATGTGAGATGTAAGTCAGGTATTTTGCATTTTGCAGCCTGAAACAATCATTGTACCTCATATCGCATATTATCAGGGTCAATGTCATCTTGGCTTGAATCTGGACTGGATACGTGTGTCTGTTCATTGATCGTAGAACTTGAAGAGTTATATAAAAATAGGTTGAGAATTGAGATAAAGATTTAACAAGAAAAAAAAAAAAAGTATTAATACCAAAGGACTTTCTGTGACACCACTTGCTCTGCCACTGAATTCGGTTATCATGAACTCATCATATTCCTCCCCAAATTCTTGTAAGGATCTAGCATAAGCTTCATCAGTGACTTCTTGTGAGTTAACAATTTCATGCACTGAGGATTCGCCATCATCTTCATCTGCATCTGCATCTTCATCCTCATCCTCATCTTCTTCCTCATCCTCTGAAGAACAACTCGAGTGCTCATCATCTGTAGCCACAGCCCTGTTCCTACCAGATTCTTGATATGATTGATAAACGCTTGCCTGTTGCATACATAAGGATCAAAACGCTTTCTCTTTTTTTTTTTTTTTGAAATTCGAAAAGGGTATAGTATAATCTTGATTTGAAATTTACCTGTTGCAAGATAGCTTCTTCCAAACTAACACCTTCTACTTCTGACAAAAACTCTCTCAAATCATCGGGAATATCATTATCAGCGGGCAAACTGCCATTTAGATGATGATTATGCACTTCTATCTCTCTGCTCATGGATGTGATGGTTTATGATCCGCCCTCTGCTTTCTGATTCAAAACTAATTATAAAACCTTTTTTGTGTGTTGCAGAATTTTCAGTATTATTCATTTATTTGTATACTTCTTTACTGTAGTTATAGATTGTGTGGGTTATTACGATAAGAGGAATAGCGTAGACACGTGATACGTATTTGAGTATGACTAGATTTGGGGCCATGAATAGGGTTTTTCTCTATTTGTACTTTAGTAACAGTTTCGACATCAAAATTTTAAAACCCAACGGCAATCCATCAAGATTTAGCCTGCCATTCATGATTCACCCCTAATTTCTCTTGTTGGGTTTATTTATGATCCGATTAATTTTTGGATTTGGGACCTTACATGACAACATCAAAGTAGGATCAACTGATATCTTCAAGATGACCAGAAAAGGAAAGAGATGTATCTAGAATAGCTTGCAATTGATAACAGATAAAAGAGCCCCAAACAACAACAATTTTAAGCATTAACGAACTGGGGTTCTTGAGAATCTTATTAGAGATCAAAATCCCAATTATGGGTTTGTTGATTTTGGGAGACTTGTTACAGATTGTTATAGAATTCAAGAAACCAAGATGTTATAGAAGAATTACCTTTGATGGTGTTGATGGGTAAAGATGAAGAACACAGCCACTAAACGTCGTAACTTTCACCACAAAAGGAGAGTGAGAGAGGAAATAAAAGACGAAAGTGCTGGAGAAGGTGACGTGATCGAACCATACGCGACTGTTGACTATAGTGAGCGTTCTAGGTCCACTCTTCAAACGTTTGGGATCGGATTCTGATATCTTTTTCTTGACAAAATTACACAAATGGCACCCGTGGTTTACGAAATTTTGTTGTATCGATGGTAAGTTATTATTGGGTTATAGTCCTATCTTTGTTAAGTTTTGTTGGTTTTTTCTTTGTTTGTTAAGTTGTGTTGGTTTTTTCTTTGACAAGATTTTTTGTTTACTTATGTTTTTAAGTTTTTAAATTTTTTTTTTTAAATTTTTAATTTTTGTTCTTTTTACCTGTAATAATATGTTTTTAGGTAACCATACAATATTATTTGCAAAATAGCTCTTAAGTTTACAAACCTTAATAATGGTTTAGGGCGGGTGTAGGAATTGATAGTAGGTGTTTCTAGGGCTGTAAACGAACTGAACGTTCGGCGAATCGTTCGTGACTGTTCGGCGGGAAGTTCGTTTATGTTCGTTTATTTAATAAATGAACGAACATGAACAAAAATTATCGTTCATTTAGTTAAATGAACGAACATGAACAATGGTCTCGTTCGTTCATTTATGTTCGTGAACGTTCGTTTATGATGTTTATTTACGTTCGTTTATGTTCGTTCATTTAAGTTTATTTATATTCATCTATATTCATTTATTTTTTATTATATTGTTATATTATATGTTCGTTTATGTTCATATATGTTCAATTGTGTTTTTTTTTATCTTTGTTCGTTTATGTTCGTTTAGCATGTTCACGAACATAAATGAACGAACATGAACAAAGTAATTTGTTAAACGAACGAACATGAACAAGAAAATCTCGTTCGTTTAGCCGTTAGTGTTCGTTTGTTGTTCGGCTAACTTAAACGAACGAACATGAACAAGACCTTGTTCGTGTTCGTTCGGTTCATTTACAGCCCTAGGTGTTCCTGTTTTTTTTTCAATCAAACATAATATAAAACCGAAAAATCATTCATTACATCTAATACAAAAAAAAAATGATTCTTTACATAAAAAGTTAAAAAGATAACAACGATCTATTGCAATTTAAATTTGTCATCTTCATATAGACATTTTTTGAACTCATTCCATTATTTTTTTCATTCTTAACTTTCACAAGTGCTTCAATCTCAACATTGCAGAGCAATGCGTCGTTTAAAAGTCACGTCAATTTTCTGTGCAAGTCAGTTTTCAAGAGTTTCATCTTCGAAAAACATATTTCTACACTTGCGGTCGCTACGAGTAATATCAAAGTCAACTTTACAAGCTTATAAACCCCAAAAGATAAGACCGATGTTTCCCCGTACTACCCATCAAACGATAAAGGTCGGAAATTCCTTTCAAACCGGTGAAGTGCTCATCTTTGATGCAAGAGTGATAAAATATCTCAAGTTGTTGTTAAATGTCTATCATATTCAAATCATCAAAGTCATACTTGTACAACTTACCCAACTTCAACAACTTTGATTTGTCAAATTGTGCAAATGAATCACAAAGGCTCAAAACACTGATGTATTCTAGTAATTGGGTGGTTGTTTCACTAAATCAATCATAATATTTTTTAAGTTGCATATCCACCACTGTGTTGAAGATTTCAACCTAAAAATGAAATATATTAGTCTTTGTGGTCTTACAGTTTCTCGCACCAACATACAAATCTTCCATATTCAAAGTATCAATATTGTGTGTTTAACAAAAATAGGATACATTTGGCAAAATGCTAACAGACCCCGTGTTTCTTAAAGATTTAAATGCCTCCATTGTCCCTCTAACCATCAAAGTCGTTTCTATAATGTATAGATATTTTCTTTGAAGTTGCTTTGACAATATATCCATGAAGCGTAAAATGTTATATATCATATATAAGTAAAACACAAAATCATATGATTTAAAATATGCTAAGATTTCGGACGTTGGTTGACGGTTTTCCAATGACCAAGGTTCTAAAAAACGTAAGGCGTGACTTGGCGGCGGGGTCAAAGTTAAGTTATGCCAAGCCTTGGCGAGCCATGGTGTTTTTCAAGGCGTGACTATTTTATATACATTAAAAGAGATAAATCATATAATTATTGAATTGTATCAAATATATGAAGTTTTTAGAAGTGTTATATTAATATTTAATATAAAAAAGTTAACAAAAACTCAATTATTTTAGGCCCGACAAAAAAAACAAAAAAATCCGCGCCTTGAAAAAAACTCGCGCCATAACGCGATAAGGCACGCCTTGACACGTTCTTTGGGCGCCAAACTTAACAAACCTGCCTTGGACATTTTCGTAACGGCTACACCACGCCTTGCGCCATGGCACGCCTTGAGGCGCGCCATGGCGCGCTTTTTAGAACCATGTCAATGACCCTCCCTCATATTCCACAAAATCTAAAACAACAAGAACATCCATAAACATCTTCATCAAACTTGTAAGTGTTTTGAAATGTGAACCCTATCTTGTATCTCCTGCTCGAACAAGTGTGGTCTCTTGATTTAACTCTCTTTGGTTTCAAGTTCACCACTCTTCGGTTTCAAGTTCACCACCATAAAAGCCTTTTCGCACCCTTTCTCTTTGTAACATCCATAAAATTCAAGCCAATTTAAAACTTTTTTCAAACATTTAAAATCCATTATTTATACAAAATGTTTTCAAAATAGTTTTATATAAGAGTATCCCATAAATCAAATCATAAAAATGTAAGGAGGTGCACGATCACGCCTTTGCCTTCGCACGATCATCCGTGGTACCTAAAACAAAATCAAAAATTGTAAGCTCGAAGCTTAGTGAGTCTCCCCAAAATACCAATGTCATACAAAACAAAACCATATAATAACAAACAGCATTCATATAGAGTCTATAGTATGACTAGACCGCCCTTACCGGGCCTTCAGTCTGACTGGTCCACTCTCAGAACCTTCAGCATGTCTGGTCCGTCTCACAGGTCCTTCAGCTTGTTTGGACCGTTGTTTGGGCCTTCGGCCTGACTGGTATGCCCTTAGGGCCTACAGTCTATCCGGGCCGCCCTGGGTATGTTGGCCTACAGCACAAAGCAGGTCCGCCTCAACTCAACCCCACATACACAATCAACACATAATATCATAAGCTAGCATATACAACAGTCAAACCAATCTAACAAATCACTAATCATAGCATCATCCTATAAACCAGGATATCGACCTAACAGGTTACTAACATAGAATCATCTTATATACCAGGATACCGACCTAACTGGTCACTAAGCATATCAACATGCAATAAACCCAGATACAAATTCGAAAAGGGTCGGAATTGGTGCTTTCGACCTTGTTAGTATAGTGAGGACAACTCACCTCACAATGCCGATCGGAACTGAAATGTCAAACTCCTGAAATACGACTCCAAACACCAAAACCTACAACCACCATTGATCCCATTCCATAATTCCCAGTTTACCAAAATATCCTTAGAAGTCAAATTGGTCAACCCTTGGTCAAAGTCAAAGTCAACGGTCAAGGTCAACAGTCCATGTTGACCCAACTTGTCGAGTGTAGTCTACAGACTCGCCAAGTTCCTTCAGAACCTAGCAAGTCGCGAATTTCCCAATCAAATCGCCGAGTTTCCAGACAACTCGTCGAGTTTATATAGTGTCCCAAATGTTGGGAAAACCATAACCAACTCATCGAGTCATCTCACTGACTTGTCGAGTCCATGCAAAAACCAAAAATGGGCAATCTTCATCCAACTCATCGAGTTTACCATGTAACTCGTCAAGTCCCTTTAGTCCTCTTCTTTTTTAGACGTTTTTAAGCAAAACCTAGGCTCCAAATTGTAGATCTAGCTTCCTAATGTATAGTTTTCACGTAAAGTTGCAAACTTTATGTGCATACAAAGCCCAAAATGTCAAAACCAAGCTAAGGAAGAGGTTTAAGCCAAAGAAAAGGGCCAAAGCTTGATAAATTTGATAACTTTATGACAATGTGTACTTATAGTGGTCCAGATCTGAAGTTACAACTTCAAATCATGCTCAATACAAGAAATGACCCACAAATATGCTAAAAAATGGCCTTCAACCCTTGATTGAGGAGATCTAACACTAAAATGATCAAGGTAACAACTTGTTACCTTCAAATACAAGCCAAGACGGAGTAGGTACTGGATCTAAAAGCTTCTCCTTGATCCAAGCTCTTGAGTCTTCAGTTTTCTTTCACTAAAACCTGATGGGTTTTGAGCATTCTAACACTTCCTAAGTGTACATGCAACCCTAATAACCTTGGATCTATGTTTGTCTA